GAAATCGCAGGCGTTGCCGTCTCAAGCGAATGCCTATGCATGGAAAATACGGGGTGTCGTTGGCGCTCTGCCCCATGTATCCTTCCCGCGTTGGTTGTCTCAAGACCAAGCTATGCATGTAGCGCTACTGGCCAAGAAACAACCTCTGTCGTTCTGTCCTCTGTGTTTCTCTGCTTCTTTCTTTGATCTGTGCATGTTGGCAACAAATGCGCGGAAGCGATTCTGTGGGCGTCTATTTGTTTGAAGTTGATGGTGCCGATGCCATTACTTCCGCTCGCCCATTTCGGTGTTGTACTGGCATGCGAGATTTGCCGCATGCAAACAAACTATTTCCGCAGGGATCAGGCTCAACCAGCCAACAGCGACCGCTTCCCCTTCTCCTCTTTGCCTTGTAATTCCCCCTCGCTGTTGAACTATCCTTCTGTTCCTCAGCGTACGATGGCGGCGACTGCTGCGAGTGCACGTGCGAGAGCGCTTGGAATGACGACTACACCTGCAGCAGCGAGCACGGCATCTTCAACTGCAAAGACCCGAACGCCTCCTGCTTCGGCGAAGAAACTACTGGGAGCGATGACTTCAGCACCGACGACCAGCCAATGTCGTACGAATTTGTCCCCTGGGAAGAGACAGAGGCCCTGCCGACGGTCGACGGTGCTGTTGAGGTGGGCACCAAGACCGAGGTGGGCGTATCATCTACCGCCCACGACGTGCGGCCCGGCGACGACGGGTGCGGAGAGGTCGGCGGCCTTGGCTGCACGGCGGCCAACACCCGTGATGGAATTTTCTCCGAGATCGAGTCGAGGTGGTCGTGCGCCACGAAGCTCGTGGATGACGAAGGGCCGTGCCAGATCGAGTTCACCTTTGCCGAACCCCAGACCATTGTGGACATCCAGGTTGCCTTCTGGAAGGGAAACGAGCGCACCCGTACCCTAGAGGTGAGGGCGACACCCAGCAGGCTGAAGATCACCGAAACAACAAGCCCTCTATTTTAGTTACTGGTAGCCCCCAACAACACTTGTGCGACTGTGAGCCACCATGAGGACTGCATTTCGTAACGTGTACATGAAATGCTTGGAGGTGTTGACCGCTCCTAGCGATTGAGGTGAATGGCGATGGCACGTTCGCCGCGGGCTGGGAACCCACCTCGAAGCGCGCTATCGTGCCCACACTTCTGACGCCCTCCCATCCCAAGCGGCTTCCGTGGGCGTTTTCCACAGGCGGCGCTCGAAGCAAGTTTCATCTTTGATACCTCGCGAACTTTTCCCCACACAGGTCTACATCAACGGCGAGATGACCCACACTCACGAGTCGTACGCCGATGCCACCTTCAACACGCTCGGTGTGACGGCTACTGACGTCAGTACTGTGATGCTCGAGTCCGTCGCTCTCCTCTCAGACGAATGGATCAGTCTCATCGAGGTGAGCGTTGTGTCCACGATTGCTTGTTGCGAGGGCCTGGGAAATTCGCCAACCGTTGGTGTCGAGGGGATTTGGTGTGCCTCTGGTGTCATCAGGCATACGTGGACAGGGCAAGGTAGTTTTATACCCACCAGGTCAATATTGGACACAAACTCAATCGAGCAGGACAAATACTTGGGCAGTAATGGAAAATTTGTTGGACTCCCAAGGCTTCTCCTGTTTGTCCAGTAGCATCCATTTCGCAACCAGTTCGCCTTTCGGCGCGAGCGAGTCTGTCGCGCAGTGCTCACAAAAACGGTTCTTCGAACGCTGTTCGGACAAATCGCTCGTCCCTTCTCCCTTTCGTCTGTCCTTGTCTCTCTGTGTGGTATTGTATTCCGCTGCGCACCTTCACAACAGGTGCTCATCTTCGTGACACCTTGAGTGAGTGGTGGATACACCGGCTCAAGGCGATTGATTCCATCACGAACCGAGCTTGGCCCTCGACGTGCGTGGGGCAACCTGTCGTTTGGATGCTGACGAAATTTCATGGAACACTGTCGTCGAGAACGGGGTTTTGGGAACGAACGCGTATCACGTAGGGACATTGGGCCTGACACCCTCGCTGATAGTCACCGCGTTTGCTATCAAGCATTTCTTCCTATTTATGCCTGACTGTGATAGTGCCTGATGGAGAAGCGCGGCCTCGTTTATTGTCTCTGGCCCCTGCGGGCGTGTGTGTTTTCTTTCCGGATGTTCCTTTTGTTTGCGTCCGTCTTAAGGTGTGTTTCTTCTCCACTCTTCCTTCAGGTTCATGAAAAGCTGAGTAGAGAATTGGCCGCAGAACGCGTTTGGTGTGTGCTTTTCGGAAGCGATAGCTCCCCATGTGGAGTGGCCACGTCATAACAGTACGTCACAACAGCAATCTGGCAGTTGGCAAGCGGCGGACCTCTCGGGTTGTTCGTGGTGGACTGCAGAGATTCGTTTCCATTTGACAGATCTCCCGTTAAGACACACAGGCCATTTCTGTCCGGATTTGGGTAGATCCGACTCTTTTATTCTTACATCGAAATGTGATTTTCGAGATCTGATTTCTACTTTGAAAACGACCCTAAGGGATTCAAGTCGTGGCAGAAGCGACCCGGCCCCATGGCGCGTAGGAGGGTTTCAACCACGTCGTCGCGAAATGGTCACGACATACAGGGTTTCTTATCGTCGCCGAAGCAAACCCGCACGCGAAATGGCTTTCTATCCTTTCTTTCTTTCTCCACTAGGTTGAATACGCCCATTCGTGCGTGCCCGTTCACGTGACAAAGGGTTTCAAACCATGCCCTAGGCTTTCCCGCCACGTAGCCCTCTTTATGGCGGCGTGGTTTTCCGCTCGTTTCTTTGTCTCGGTGCAAACGTTTGATGATACGCATACATGCGCCCACAAGCAAGTTCAGTGACAACGATGACCATGGGTACCCATGGGCACCCATAGCCGTGGGTAGCCATCATGGGCATCGGTGGTGTGACACCCTACGGGTGCCCATGGGGAATCATGATGATCAGCACGGGTCCCCTTCGTCCCCAACTAAAGAAGACTAGAGCTATGGAAGATGACAATAAATAGCTTCGCAATTTATTGTCATCTTCCATAGGAAGGACAAGACGAACAAACCCACCTGCAGTTTTGAAAGAGACCTGCGGAACGCCTCGGCGTGTGTATGCGCGGTACGAAACACGGGAGATACAACAACGCGTTCAGCGTCTAGGCTAGCGCCGTGGATCTGGGTGAGGATACACTGACGGGCTTTCCTCCACGCCCACACCAAGCCAAATTGTTTTTATTCAGGCTCGCTTCTTCATACAACATGTTGCCATTGATACCTCGACGTTACACCGGGAGAGGCTGCTGGCGAGGAAGCCATGGACGCGATATGGGTTTGGGGAACCTTGGAGGATGAGGATGACGTGCTAGCCGCGATGCGAGAGGATGCAGCAGAGGAAGTCACTGCACGGCTAGCTGGGACCCACTTGGATGACGATTCGGAGGAAAAAGAGAAGGGGGGAGATGACCAAGACGTGAGTACGGAGCGCGTTGGGGGTGCCCCACCGGCCAATGCTGAACTGTCGTCTCACTTCGGCGTCCTGGAGCGGGCTGCGGAGGAGTGTGGGAACGAACGCAGACAGACGCTGCCTTTTACCTGTCTAAAGCCAGGATGGCGAGGATCGCAGCGCTGTACATTTTCGTACTTTTTCATGAAAAGTTTCATGGAAGTCCATGGACTTCCATGGACTTCCAAAAAACCGTTCCATGGACTTCCATGGTCTTCCATGAAACATTTCATGAAAAGTTCCATGGATGTCCATGACATTTTTTGTCATGAAACTTTTCATGAAATAATTTCACTCCTTGTCAAGAAACATTTCATGGAATAATTTCATGGACGTTCATTACATGCTTTCATGAACGCCCGTGAACGTTCATGAAATGTTTCATGAACGCCCATGAACGTTCATGAAAAGACTTTTCATGATAGCCCATGAACGTCCATGGAATGTTTCATGGGCGTCCATGGTCTTTCATGAAATATTTCATGAACATCCATGAACTTCCATGGAATGTTTCATGGACGTCCGTGGGCTTTCATGAAATATTTCATGAACGGCCATGGATGTTCATGAAATGTGAATGTTTCATGAAAGACCATAGACGTTCATGAAACATTTCATGAACGTTCATGAAATGTTTCATGAAAGGCCATGGACGTCCATGAAACATTTCATGAACATCCATGAACGAACGTTCATGAAAAGATTCATGAAAGCCCATGGACATCCATGAAATGTTTCATGAACGCCCATGGAATATTTCATGGAATTCCAATTCTGGAACACCAAATTCGTATGTATATGATGCATACCAAGACTGAGAGAATTGGTGCAGTAGATTGTTGAGGAGTGTGGCTGCTAGCATGAATAGGGTACATCCTATTGTTCATAGGAGTGGGATGGTCAGCAGGTATGTATTCCTTCTTGTACCCATACGCCCCCCCCCCTAGAATTATCTACTCTGTGTGCCCCCTAAGATGAAGTTGGATCCCGACTTCATCCCAGACCCTTGCTGATCGTCTCTCAGCAATAACAAGCAATTTTCCCATCTCTACGTGGCCGTGGACAAGATTGTCAACGACGGGACCTTCATGATACGTAGATGCGGTGTGATACATGACGTCTTGTACAGTACAACGGAACACGGTGTCATGAATGAATTGATGGTTTATGAGATGATTGTAATGAATGGTAGCGAAACATCTCGAGGTGTGCGGGCCCCACCGTGCTCACTCCCCAACTATCCCTCAGCATCTCTCCTCTACAAGTAAACTGAAGAAGAAGAAGAAGAAGAAAGAAAGTACAAGTCCCAGAAGCGGCATTTAGCTAATCGATAATTCGGGTGGCTCAGTTGTGTGTGATGGGAGCGTAGATCAGCTCGGCCATGACGGGCCGTAAGGGTAGGTAAAGACGTGTAGACGTGCTGAAAAACGTGTTGTGTTCATCGGGGGCGTGCTTGAGCTCGTCATTCCATCACGGCATCAAGTCACGCATAACGCTTTAACACCCAGAACGAATCTCCATGAATCTCCACCAATCTACTGCACTCCCAAGGAAAACACAAAGAAACTTCTTGTTCCTCCGTAGTTCGTCACTGCAATCCCCGCATATGTATACGCAATATACCACCCCCATGCTATGCTACGAGTATATCGAATAGCCCCCCTGCTCGTATGCATCATCATGCTCCGACAAAATATCAAAGTCATCCTTCTCATACCAGTTTATCCCAAAACAAATCAAAACCAAGACAAAATCGAAAACTCCAACACCAAAACAATACCTCCAAAAACAATCAATCGCATACCAACTCTTCCAAATCATCAAGAAAAATCAAAAACATTAACCTTCAAAAACACTACCATCTCCACTTGACCCTCTCTATCTCTTGTTCAAACTCGTACATATCCTCTCTCTTCCACTCAACGGCAAATCACGGTTTGATCCCAAAACACCTCGTTCACTGCAAATTCATCACAAAGTCTCTGTGCAACGCAAAAGATTCCTTGCTGATAGCCTTCGTCAAGAAATCTGCATGCTGAAACTCCGACGCCACGTGAGTAATCGAAATCTCCTTCCTCTCTACCAGTTCCCTGATAAAGTGATGCCGTACATCAATGTGCTTCGAGTTTGAGTTCGTGATCGGGTTGTGCGCAATCTGAATCGCTCCCTGATTATCCTCGAAGACCTGAATGCACGGCATGCCTGCATCTGGCAACATAAAACGCCAAACTTGCCTCAAGAAAAGCACCTCCTTCAAGACGTCGGCAACTGCCACATACTCTGCTTCCGTTGTGGAAAGCGTAACGCACTTCTGCGTCCTCGAAAACCAAGTCACACACCCACCCCCACACATCACTAGTCCTCCTGAAACCGACCTACGGTCTGCTGCCTTGCTCGCATAGTCAGCATCCACAAACACCTGCATGCTCATGCCAGTCACCACACCCCTCTCAAATGTAATCCCCATCCAACTCGTCCTACGCACGTACCCTAAAATACCAAGTGCTGCCTTCCAGTGCACCATCTTGGGAGACGCGCAATACCGCGCTACTGCTCGTACTGCATTCGCGATGTCCGGCCTAATTTGAGTGGCCAACCACATCAGGGATCCTACCAACTCGCGAAAAGGGACATCAGCACACGCTTCGTTCTCGTCAAAGTCGGTGAGCTTCATGCTCACAGGCAAGGGCACACTCTCCCCCCACTCTACGCCGTACTCTGCAGCCAACTCTTCTGCAAACCTTTGCTGCGAGATCCTCAAAAGGCGTCTCTCTAGATCTCTCTGGTAAAAGCACGCGGAGTACCACCTCAACTCCCCAAGGTTCTTCACGGGGACCATCTCGTTGAGGTCTCTGCCAAACTTGTCACATCTCTCCTTCTGCCCTACGGTAAAAATGTCATCCACGTGGACCACGATGATCATGATCACACATCCATCCTCCATAAATCGAAATACACATGCATCCGCCAAACATTGCACAAATCCTAAAAGTAACAAACACCTCGTCAGGTGCGCATGCCATTGTCGTGACGCCTGCTTCAAACCATACAGACTCTTACATAGCTTCACGATCAGTCCAGATAACCTACCACAACCTCGCGGGAGACGCATGAAAACATCCTCTTCAAGCTCAGACTGCACAAATGCCTGCTGAATATCGAAATGACACAAGTCAAGGTTCTGCTCACATGCCAAAGCTGCCAACAAACGCACACTAGACACGGATACTGTGGGTGCAAACAATTCTCCAAAATCAATCGAAGCCCTCTGCATGTCCCCCCGCGCTACAAGTCTTGCCTTGAATTTCGTCGGCCATCCGTACTCGTCTGCCTTACAGTTGAATACCCACTTGGCGTTGATGAAGTTTTCTACTGGTTGCTACACCGGACTAAAAGTACCTGCATCCAACAGACCGAAAAACTCCCGACCGACTGCATCATCCCACAACTCTGAATGTTGAGACCGCATGGCCTCCTTGAACATTTTCGGCACTCGGAGGTCGCTGGCGAGGCAGTGAGGGAGGTCCGGCGTCTTGTCAGGAGGGCGCTTGGCACGAAGAGTGGCTTCCACGTCCTCGCGGGTGGCGAACATTGCTGCGAACATGTGCAGCCCCCCCGGCCCCCCAGATCCTGCGGCCCTCCCGCTCCCATGGCCTGCTAAACTCGTATCTTGCGGCGGTGGGGGAGCGGGAGGGGCGATGCTGGCGGACGGTGGCAGGTCTCGACGTCCTTGGTCGACGACCTCCCGGGTGGCGAGCGACGAGACGAGCGCATCCTTGCCCATCATCGACAGCAGCCCAAGGCGGTGTTGGAGAGCGGTGCCGCCACCTGACGGCGACGGCGGTTGCTGTTGCTCATCCATGAAGCGCACTCGGTCGCCGCGCGTACGGCCATGCACTCTGGTTTCCTTCTCGCCCAACTCTCTGACGGCTCGCTGTGAAAGCGGCGGGTGATGGGGAGCGGGAGCGGCGGCGCTTGCGGGCGGTGGTGTCGGCGGTGGACGGGGCGGCGTGGCTGCGGTGGACGGCGGTGCACTCGAAGACGCCGTGGAGATCGGCGACGCGGCCCCCGGACCCTGTGAAGATCGACGGAGAAGCGGGCGGCGGCGAAGCGGTGGTCGCTGTGGGCGGGGTGTAGGTGTACGTCCGCGATGTCCATGGCGGTGGCGGTGCGGCAGCGGCTGCAGGAACGGCGGCGGCCGGCGAGGGCGCCGCGGTGACCGAAGAGCCCCCCCCGCTGGCCGGTATCGGCGCCGGCACGGCGGTGCGACGGTTGATCCACACGACGTTGTTGGACAGGCAGATCCTTTCGGTGTCGGCGCGGAGAACGACGGCAGTGGC